CCTGCCTTTGCTTACTTTCTTTCAGGACATTTAGCAGAGTAGTATTTCTTTATCATCAAGCATTTTCTTTCTTCCAAAAGTTAGTTCCTTACCTACATCCTTGTCTAGGTCTGTAAACACGTTCTGAAGTGCTATGGCTAAGGCATCTGAAATGCATGCTTTCCCTTTGAACCCATAAAATTTAGCTCCTACTTCTCTCATTACTCGGGAAATAACTTCATATTTACTGACATAAAAGTAAAACATCCTCTTTGATATGGATTTTCCATTCACTTCATGCTCCTTCGTAACAACTTACTGCTTTAAGTCATCGAGATAGAGGGTAATAAAAGCATGTGTGGTGCTCACAACAGCCTCTTCCCCTGCAGTGTTCGTAGGACCAGCTCCCACCTCTAGGTTCAGCAAACACAGATGAAGCACAAGGAGAGCTTGGCATAAAAATGCACACCGCTTTAAAAAAGGCATAAAGAACCTGCTTTAATTATGATAGAAATGCATTTCTGCTCTTCAAAGACACGAATAGTTATTCAAACACAGAACTCCATACTTTTATTATTAACAGCAATGCCAAAAGTGGAAATGTTATGATTTAATAACAAAAAGTGATATTTAAAAAGACTGAAATTATATATCTTCAACCCAGAGGGTTTAGAGTTCCAACCTTCCAATTTCACAGGCACTAGAATTCAATTGCGTCAACAAGGGAATTAATTCTCTCTCCTGTGCCCTTTCAGAACTCATTTATTCTCCAGTGTCCCCTCCCAGTAAATGGCACCACCTTCTAGAGAGTTCTTCAAATCTCATAACTCAGTGTCCCTCACACATAGTCACTGAGCTCTCTTGATTTGATACCCTCGGCATATTTTGAACCTGATGCAAGTCAAAGAACCTTCTGCCCTGAACCCTAGTCCTTCAGTCTGAGGCCCTGTTGTCACTTCACAAGTGAGGTCAGAAGTCTCCTGGCAGAGCTGCTGCCTCCTATCTGCTCCCTGCATTTCAGCCTGCGTGACCTTTCTCAGATACAAACTGACCCTCCTGCCATCCTCGTTCCTGTGCTCGACTGGGATACGCCCCTCCTCCTCTTCGGACTAGCCTCCCAGCCTCTCATGTGAAATGTCCACAAATGTCCGAATGCCAGTTGCAAAATCTGTTGCTGCAATTTTTCCTATATTAATCTCAATTTATCAATCACTTATTCCTCACAAACTACATACACTTATGCTAGAAAAATTTGCAATGAGTTTGTACAATGCTTACAACATTGCCTCTTCTGACCTAAGGGTCAAACACTCCACGTTGGTTGCCACAAATAGTTCTGTTTTCACATGCACTCAAGCATCCCCACCCACATTCCACCTGTCTCTCTCCCCACTCTCTCTCTCAATGGTGAGCAAGCTGACAGCCAGCTCTGCAGGGTCATCAGACTCCCTGCTGTGGCTGTTATTCATGGTGGTCTTGTGAGTTATCTTACCCATTTATACATTGCTTTTTTGGCTCTTATTGTACAGTCAGTACTATAAATTTTCTGTTTTGAGTTTTGTAACTCTGTAGCAACTTAGATAAGGTTATGTTTGTACTTTGCTGTGCAGAATGAAAAGATTGTTAATAAACCTAATGTTAGAAAGCAAAAATAATACACAAAATAATTCCCATATTATTCAAAAATATATATTATTTTAGAATTTCTCCCTCTGCCTAATACCTAGTAGAATTCTCTTTCACCAAGTGTCAAAAACACTTAAAAGGTGAATGAGTGCATGATTTATCTAGTCATCAAGAGCACTGGCTTTGGAAAGTGATGGATCTGATTTTAAATCTTAGTTCCCACACAGCCTGTGTAGTTCTGGACAAGCTTCTTTATTTCTCTCAGGCTCACTTTCCCCCGTGTCTGGAGACTTGAGACACACAGGCGGTGGGCCGTGTGCAACCCTCCACTTCTTCCTCGCAGTCATAAGAGGTTCACTGAACTGCCAGCATGGACCCACCAGACCCAGGAGACGCTGCCCCCCTCCCAATGCCACTTTCCTTTTGTAGGGGTTGCAGGAGAATGGCCTTGTGTATCTGGAGAAAATCCAGTCTGATCCTAGACCTGGACTATGGCAGACAAAGTCCCGCAGCTGTGTCCCTGTGCCGATAGCACCTGCAGCTCTTCCATGAGGAAAGAGGAAGCCAGTGGCCCCTTCTATTTCTGCACTGGGCAGCCCAGAGCAAGCCACAGGTCTCACTCAGCCACCCATTCTGCTCATCTCCTCTCGCTCCTGCATCAAACGGTAGTACTCATGCTCTACTTCACTATGTGGTTAGGAGTCAATCAGAAAATGCCCAGAAAGGATAGTATCCAACACATATTAAGTGTTTAATAAATGTTTACATAATACCATGTTTTAGTAAATTAATATTCTACAAGGCTGATGCTATCAAGTGTGACTATGTTGCAATAGAGGAATTAAAGTCAATTTGATCAAATATGATCCCATAAAGCACTCTCATCTAACCCATTCTGAGGCCATTGTAGGTAATCTGTGAGAGCATTTTTCCATTAAGCTTATTACTTTTTCTTTTAGCCAAAATTATACAACAGTCATTTTACAGTGAATCCCAGCAAATCATTTTGCCATATGTGTTCATGTTCGAGTTAAAGTCACGTGGGCTCCCAGCACTGCTCCTCCGACTGCGGGTCAATGAGAAAAGAAGGCTGACTAAGCCCGTGGGCAGTCTGCTCACTCCAAGAAACAGCAAATGAAGTCACAGTGAAAAGAACGTCCCCCAGGGTTTCGGACCAATAAAAGTAGGGGGAGGTTTGAGTTACCATTGAGCACATGGCAGCAGAGAACTCAAAGGAAGCTGTACGTCAGCAGTTACTTCCATAGAAACAGAATGAGTGGTGTGTCATTAATGAATAATTTACATCCTAGATTGAACATGTGCTAAGCGTGTGCTACTGTGAAAATTGTTTAACATTTCTAAAACTCTATTACATGGGCGATGTTTTGCCATTAAATCAGAATATCTATGAAGACCATCTCTGACACAGAGTAAGTGCTCCGTAACTGTTAGCTACTGGAATACATGATAAATAAACACTCTGCAAGGTGTATGCTCTGAGTAAATAGAGAAAGTACCTGTAATGTGAAGCATTTTGCAGTTCGTTGTGAAACTGTCCATCGTGCTAAACTCTACAGTCCAGGGACAAATAAGACAGACTGGGCTCAGTGCTCCAAAATCGAAATTTGGGGTGGGACTACTTTTTAGGGGTGATTTCATTTAAGTGTGACGATTGTGAAGAGAGGAATTAGCACATAACAGGAGCTGCTAAGCTGAATTGTTGAAGCCAAGAAAACTGGCGGGAGTTGGGCAGAGGGTGAGATGCAAGCCACCACGGCTCAGCACTGTGATTCGGCAGCTGGAGGGACACAAGCATGAACTTGGCTTCTGGAGTCTGGCGGCTCGGCTGCACACCAGCTCTGTCCCTTCCCATCTGTGTAGCGTGGGCAGGTCCTCCTTTCTAGTCATGCGTCTCCCTCTTAGAAAAACTGGGGGATGGAGTAGTTCCCTAATGATACCCATCTGGCCTTATTTTAAAAATGATAAAATAATAAAAAATAATAATCAGTAAAAAAAAAAGCCTGCCTTTTCATGCAAGTCTGCTTTGCCTCCAACTTATAAAAGCAGCTAAACAGAGCCAGATCCCTAGCCGCTTCAGAGGACTTCCTTTCCTCTGTGCTACCTCCCTTATGCTTGGGCATACATAAACTTAATAAAATCTGTCTGAAAATTTTTTTAAAAATGATAATCAAATGTCCAAAATAGTGAAGACACATAATAATAAAAAATTTTGCTGTTTTTAGAATGATAAAAATTAATACTATTAATATTAGTGCTATTGCTATTCTTATTATTACTCCTGAGGTCAGTACTATGGTTACTATCTGGTAGGACCTGGCAGGGACACAGTGCTTGCTGGTGGCGGTAGACACTTGGAAATGTCGCTGAGAATGCAGGGACCCGTGAAATCTGTACAACAGGTTCTCTGTCTGACAACCTCAGCAAGGTGCCTGCCCTCTGTGTGACATGCCTTCCTTGCATGTATTTAAACAAAGTGAACCAGAACTAACATCACAATGTGGCAACAATGTGTAAAGAAAGCTTCGGGGGCTAAAATAATAAGGTTTACTGGAGGACTAACAATTCTTTTCCGCTTCTCCCCTGCACTAGTTGTGAGACACGGGGCAAATCACTGCCTCTCTCCAGACCTCGGGCTGCTCATCTGATGGCTGTAATCACATTTACCAACTCGCTGTTCTGGAATAAAAGTGCGTCCACAGGATGGTGAGGCTTGAGGTGGGCTATCAATAACACTTAGGTCCCTGCCCCACAAAAAGATGTAATAAAAATGCTTCATTAAGAGCAGACTAAGTGAAATCTGTGGTTTCTACCCTTTTTTATGTGAAAGTATTTCAAACACAAATTATATTCTGGCAGAGGTCTTTACCTTTTCTATGAATTTATGCTGAGAGCACAGCATAAGTGAGTTGCATGGTGTGTTATTTTTAGGCGAGAGAAAAAACACATTCCTTGGCCTCCTAAAGATCACTGGTTACACTAAACAGAACAGTGACTCTTCTATGAAACTGGTTATGCCCAAATGAGACAACCAAATATATATTCCAGTGGAGGAAAAGCTCTAATATTTGAGAGTTAGATTTGGATAAATGGGTTCACACATCTACAAACATGTTATCCGTACTTACCTATCTCTATATAGATTTGTCTATCCATAAAATGCTTCCATTTCTGATTTAAAATATGAAAGCATTTTAAAAATGCTTTCATTTCTGATTTGTCTATTGGCATGTATGGGCACACAAAAAGCTTTCCACAAAAACCATTCAATTTTATCTCTCTTTACATATCTATAAAGTCAATTTCTGCATGGCGTTGGGCTTTTAATTCATCTCCTTTGATGTCTATTTCAGTGTGTTAGGTAGACAATCACTTACTATATGCACATCCAAACACCTCGATTCGCATTCCGATTCTGCCCTTGGGGTTCCACTCTACAGGGATGAAGCGCAGGAACCTGGCTTTGATAGAAGGCTGCAGTCGGTAGTACACGACGCTGTCTGCGTTTGCGTTTCCTGAAAAACCCTAGAAGGGGTGGAAAGAAGAAAATCATTGGACCGAAGTATATTCACTTCGCCTTGTCACCCTGAATGTCGACGAGCAATGCCTGATCTGCGTTTTTACTATACGATGGCTAACCTCTTTAAGAAAGCCAGATTAGCAGTTATGATGTAACGTCTCCCCATCCACAGAAGCTACTGTTGCCTAAACTTTTCTTTATATTCAGAGTAGTTTAAATTCCACCATCCCCATTAATCCAGCTTTTAACTATGGTACCTTCTATAAAGTGTGTTTCTATAAAAGCACAGATTAAACTTAAAACATAGTGAACAGCACAATGTTTATAAATGAGAAACTTCCAGAAGTCAAAAACCATGAGCAGCACAGCTGCTCGCATCACTGATGGACGAGTGAGGTTGTGACATCTGCTGATTCACTTTCTCATCTGACTCATTACCATAAACAAATGTATCAACCCACCTTCAAGTCAGAACTACACTCGAGTAAAAGGCTGTTAAACTTCACCGCACTGCTGGAGAAGCACATTAAAAATTGTGAGAGGAAACTGGAAGCAACCACAATTTGGAAAGACCTGTGATTCGATTTACACACTCTAGAATTTGAAAACTAGAAAGACCTTGAGAATGATGCTAAATGAGCATAGTCAGATTGCAGTGGGGAAATTAAAGGTCAAACACAAAAAGCCTGGCATTTGGTAGAACTATTGTTGCACAGTAATACTGAGAGGTTTGTTCCCCCCACAATATAAGGATGCATCTACCTAACAACAGAGCCCACCTGCTACAGCCCCTAACATCGAAGCCACTTTTGTTTTCTCCTGCATGATACACTGTAAGGCTTCATATCGGAAAAAGGTAGGATAAAGCAGAACTCATTCTCAAAAATTTGTATTCGTTTCCCCTCCTCCTCCTGCTCCTTCTTTTATTTAACTTTAACAATCAGCAAATACAGACACAGAATAAGGGGAGATGGTACTACCTTTTTCAGGCTCTCTTACATTTCACCAAAACTGGATCAACAAATGAGGTCAACCTCATGTAGATGACGCAGGCAGAGGCAAATACACTAGAAACACCAATACCCAGGGAGTTTCTTCACTTGCCTGCTTTTCTTTTTACTGCACAAATACCCCTTCACCAGCATTTACAAAAATATTTTCTAATACATAAAAAAAATAACAGGTTGGGTATTTCCCAGTCAGATTAATTTGACTCTGCCCCCATCCTGCCCCCTCTCCATCCTGCCCCCATCCCCCACCTATACCCCATACACCCAATTCTCAGGCTCACACCCCACAGACAGTTAGTTCTGCGATGGCACCTCCACAGCATATCAGGAATGCGGGCATCTTCCTTCATCCCGGCTGTGACCGACAATGCGTGATCTCACCAGAACTGCCTCAATAGCTTCCTTCTCACTGTTTTATACTTCTATTCCCCCTCACCATCCCCTTCCCCATCCCAAGTCTCTCCTCCTCTGAGCGATCAGTGAGATTTTTTTTATCCTCACCTGAGGACATGAGAGGGGGGAGAGACACATCAACGTGAGAAACGTACCCACCCCAACTAGGGACCGAACCCATGATCCAGGCATGTGCCCTGACTGGGAACAGAGTCTGCAACCTTTCAGTCCGTAGGATGAAGCACCCTCCAAGGGCGCCACACCAGCCGAGGCTCAGTAAGATTTTCAAAGGTAAATTAAACCATGTTACCCTCACTACTTCTTGAAACAGAATCCAAACTCCTTATCAAACACACAGTCTTTGGCAAAATCCTCCCTTATGCTTGAGCTACACCGCACCTCTGTGTGGAAGCCAAGTTCTACCCTTAGGGCCGTTCATTCCTCTCGGGACGTGCTTCCCTTGGTATCTTTGCTCAGCCCATTCATCCTGTCATTTCAGGCCTTGGTCAAAATATCACCACACCAGGTAGGCACTTCCTCATCCCAGCCCCTAAAGTAGTGTATCTGATACTGCATCTTATCTTTCTGTTTTATTGCCTTATATTTTCATTATTTGGGGTCTCCATCTGTTTGGTTACAAAGTTCGGCAGACTTCTCGATGGCAGGACCTCTCGGGCACAGCAGATGCGACTGTGCCCAGGTGTGTGCTGCATCTCCCACAACAAAGACCATCGCCCAAGGGGTTTCGCGCACGTCAGGGCCACACTTCTAGTTGTTATTTCCCAGAGCACAGATAGGAGAATACTGCTTAACCCCACAGACATTTGGACTCTGAGAACCAGACCCTCCTAGAAAGTTCCATCCCACTCGACAGATTAAAACTCCACACCCTGGACACTGGGTGTATGTGTGTGTATTTACTGGCTCTCTAAATCAGGGTAGTGTGCATCCAGGGTCGAGAACCTGGTCTAGAGACATTCAGTCCTAATCAGACCCTCTTATACTCTGATTCTATTTTCCTGGGAGCCACTCACAGGCCGACACTATCCCTAATTATAATTTCTTTCAATGAACAGCTGGATGATGAATTAGCTCCAAAAGAGCTCCCACTTTTTCAAAATTAATGTAACTTCCTAGATGTAGACAGATGCCATGGTGATGATCCCAGCATCTTAAGGGACCGAGAGGAAAGATGCACAGTGGCAGTGGCACCAGGCAAGTAGAGGGGGGAGAGGCACCAATGACAGGCTTTCCCCCTTCCCTGACTGATTCTGAGTTATTTAAATATTGAGAGCATAAAGAAGAAATATAAGATAGTTTGTATATGTAATAAAAATATATTGGCGCATTCGAAATTTTAAGCAGTTTTTTCTTATAAAAGCTGAGGGAAATTGTGAGGCAGGGGACATGGGTTTCTTACTTAACATGTTGTAGTCATATCTAATTTTTATTTATTTACTTATTTATTTTTTAGAGAGAAGGGAAGAGAGGAAGAAGGAGAGGGAAAGAAACATCGATGTACAAGAGAAACATCGATTGGTTGCCTCTTGCAACCCAGGCATGTGCCCTGACTGGGAATCAAACCCAGTCATAGGCCAGCATTCCACCCACTGCGCCATAACAGCCAGGGGCATATGTAAATTTTTTAATAAACATGTATTAATTTTATAATAATTAGTAAGACACAGACATAGAAAGTGTGTGCAGCGACAGACCAGATGGAAATATTATTTAATGCCTAAAATAAACTTTCTAAGATCAATATCATTGAGAAAATATGCACCATTACTGTTAATTAAATTCAGGGATTGGCAAAAGTAGGTATACAGTTGTAATACAAACAAATAATACAAGAATAAACTCTGTTTTGTGTACTCACAACTGTAAGCCTATTTTTTGCCCATTCCTATATACTTAACTGAACAATAATAATTGTACTATTTTGCTCAAAGTGTTGAAGTTTTTTCCAATAAATCATACAAGATAACAAAGATTTTCCTGTGAAATCGAGTATTTAATGGGAATTTCTTCAGAATGTTTGTGAATGAGGCGTAGCATTTATGTTCTATTACCCTATAAATAACAAGTCCCATGCACACTACCAGGTTTCAAATACATGCCCTTTGCCTAGAAGACATTCCTCAATGCTATAAAGATTATTTATGCCCTCACAATTCATAAACTCACTAAATATCTCCCCCAAATTTTATTATGTGAATGTTTATGCCTTCCCTTGTCTGTCGGAATTACGGGGGTGCTGTCCAGGGTGCAGATTCCTAGATCCTGCACCTCTTCCCCTAAACCTGTGGGCGGGCTGGGCTCAGCACCTCTAACACACATCATGCTAAAATTGTGCTTAAAAATTCTCCTGATTTGTGGATAAACTGTGCCCTTTTTCCCTCCCTGTATTATCTCAAAACGTTTTCAGAGAGGGAAAAGATTTTAGAGGAGGAGCTCACGAGGGCTAACTTGCAAGAAGAGAAATAAGTAGCAACCATTTTGTGTCACTGATCTGAATGTCTTCAAAGTGCAGCCCGTGTCTCAGACACCGACAGCAGAAATGCATTACGTAGCTTTAATACTTGCTTTGACCCTGTGAAGCAGTCATTTTCCACCCACTTCAAAACTGAGGGTAATGAAAATTACAGAGGTCATGTGCCGAAAGCCACACAGCTAGAACATGGCAGTGCAGGGATTTAATTCCAGCCTTTTTTTTCCCTCCAAAGTCCATAATTTAGCTAAAGCCATCAAAAGGCCTCATTCTAACAGAATATGAAAGCCAACAACTCACCCTAGAGGAAAGCTGATATTTTATTTGAGGCTTTTTTCACTTTTCTCATAATTTATACTTAAAATATTTGACACACTTGAGAGTAATGCAACTTCAATTACTGCTGAACTGGGACACAGCTCCGCCAGTTGACTTGTACAGACAAGAGGGCTGTTCCAGTAAACTTTGCATTCTTCTCACAATTACTGGAGTAGAAAGAAAATGAAAGGCAAATGTTCAATCATCAACAGGACTTTTGCATCTAAATGGTAACCTCCTAAGAGATACAGATGTAAAGAAATATGCCATTATATCATCAAATATATGAAATATCTATAATCAAAATTAAGGTAATATGTTTTATATGATAATAATGAAAAAGCCTTAATTGCATTTTTTCTCATCTTTGAGACCTGATGATTTCACACTCAATGAGGTGTTCATAGATGGTTTGGAAATGTATTGATAACTTATGGGGTTCATGATTAAAGTTTTTCACAGAATCTTAAGTATTTCCACAATGATTCTAAAGTTTATGAAGAAGTGTAATAGCATTCATTCCTTTTTTGAATATTAATAGAGCAGCTCATCTAAGAAAGCCAAGACCCACAGAGAGAAATGCTCACAGGGCAATTCACAGGGGTCCCACATGCCACTTCTGTGAGTCGGAGGCACGAGACCAGTGACGAGTGGTTGTAAAGCAGACGCTGCGATTACACACGAACTGGTTACGCTCCCACCAAATTAAACAGCAGCACTAGCAGCAATTCTACACAACAAACAGGCAAACATGAAAACCCGACCTCTCTTAGTATGAGAATTGCTCACATAG